TCTTGAGTTGATCGTTTGACCTTCTGGCACTGCCTGCATTATACGAGTTAACTCTGCTTTACACTTTCCTTCTCTGCCCGGGTGTATTCTCTATTTTGGAATCCCCCATAATACACTCTGTTTTCCTCACGAACTTTGCATAAAACATCGTTTCAGATGCTCCAGGGAGGACTGTAAATTGCAATACAATAACTTATGCAAAATTAGCGAGGCAAAAAGAGTGTATTGTGGGGCATTCCAAAATAGTCAAAACAAGGTTTCAACGACGTGGCTTTGAGGGGAATTTCTGAGGGGTAAGCCTTGCCTTCGTTGAACCATGATTTCCCCTGGTGGGACTAATAGACCTTCTTTATTGATGTACTATGTTTATGCTGTGACATTTGTGACAGTATTAGGTAGCTCATGGATAGACTTGGCCGGTGAGGTTTGGGAAAATATGGCGCTCATTTAATTATGGATACTTTTCTGAATAGATTTTATGTTGGCTAATTACAGCATCAGTGAATGACGTTATCTTATGATGTAGGAGTCTTTGATCAAGACGTTATTTACAGAGCATCAAGAGAAGGTTTCGGAGTTTTACTAAATTATTTAGTTATAGGTTAGCTCCAGGTCTTAATTAACGTTGTCTTGTAATGCAGGTCCTTGATTATCAAAAAGTTCAGTTAGGATAAAGATGGCATTTACAGAGCACGAGGAAAAAGTTTCAGAATTCTATTCCCGTGTAGTGGATAACAACCATGACTGGAATGATGGATTTCTCACATTTGGATTGTGGAAGACGAAATCCGGCGATCCTATACCACACCCTTTGTGTTATGGAGCAGTGTATGATGAGCTGTTAGAAGGTACTATGATACAGGCTGATCACAGCGTGCTGGATGTTGCTTGTGGGCAGGGAGCTGGCATGTTACGAATCAAATCCCAGAATGGCTGCAACATCCAAGGTCTGGACATCAGCGCTGCAAACGTGGAAATAGCGAAGCTAATGAATAGATAAATAAATAATAATGATAACAATAAAATAGTCTACAATCTAATTAATCTAAAAGTAAATTAACAAGTAGAGTCTCAAGTATTACACAAGTTATAATCTCAACTATGAGACTTGAAAGGTCTTTCTTTCTAATACTTGTTTTGAAAGCCGATAATGCGGCTAGGTCCCAGTCCTTTTTAGACAATTTGGACCATAAAAAATGGTCCAAGGTATCTAATGGACTGTCTGCCATATTTCACGGTATTGAACCTAGGAATAAAGAAGTCTGAATTTCGTAGGTTATAACTAGACAATGATACGCTGAAAAGATCGATAATATTCGAAATATTCGCAGCTATTAACTTAAAGTTCACTTTGTACACGAGGATTGCGACATCCTGCAGAATGTTTCCAATAATTCAACAACACTGAACCCTAGTCACAGGTGCGAGTGACATCACAGTCAAGAACCAATAACAACACACAGACTAATCTCCATAGAAACTCGCTTTGCTGAACTTCAGAATACCCTGTGACTTATTTGCATCTCGTTGATTAACAAAATAAACTATTGTGTTTATGCATCGTTCAATTTAAAGCGTTCCGACGAGTGACCGGGTATATTGAAGTTGCTTCAGTCACTATTTACAAGGATTAACTATCCTCAAAGCTCAAGTGCAATCCTGACTTCAAGGTTTTGTTTAACAGTAAGTTGAGTTGAAGTTAGCATCCCTAGCTAAGCACTTCTTTTAAGCCTTCCTTTTTGTTACTTATTTATTTTCCTTTATTTATGATAATTTAACTATCAGTACCATAAATGTTCAATATCAAGAACCCGTAAATTGCAGAGGAAATGAAAAGTCATCTTAGGTAAGGTTTCTAACTGTAATCAATAGAAATTCGACTTTTGGCCACGACTCAGAACCCCTTGCCTGTACCGGTGGACTCATCTCAGTCAAAGAAAACTCACATTTTGATTGCTCACAGAAGTGCGGATATTCAAATTGGAATTCCATATCAGAGAACTGATATTAAAGTGAAATAGCTTGAAATACATGGGTAACAGGTTTCCTACAGCTCCTTTCTATTAGATACAATACGTTTAAAGGTCTTAGAGGGTTATGGACATTTCGTCCCACTTCGGAGAGAAAATCTTCCGACTGTGTGTACAAGAAATTACCTCGAAGGGCGATCTGATAATCCCTGGATCAAATTCCATTGTTTTCTTTTGTCAATTCCCCAAGTTGACAGAAGTTGTTTCCATGTTTCTTGTATCGTTCTCAGTCGCAGGTGCAAAAAAAGGCCGCCAGGTTGTAAGGCGTCGTAAATCGAGAAAACGCTGTGTTAGCTAGCTGCTTCCAAGTATTTTATTACCTTCAAAGACATCAATCCTAGGATTCTGTGGAATTTTCAAAAGTTATTTCTGACTCTAAGAGATCATTTTTTTTGTTTCGAAGTGACAATTTTAGTCACCCATTTGCGCCAAAAACGCTTTGTCATGGTACATTCATGCTTGA